GGTGGTGGTGGTGGTGGTGGTGGTGGTGAGGGGGGGGGTGTCAGACTCTGTTACAAGGGCACCAAAGTTCAAAACTTGGTCCAAGCTGAGATCACAATCCAGAAAGTCAGATAAAAAAAAGAACACCTTCACTAAATAACCAGTTATTTGACGTTACAACAAGAAGAGAACACAGAAAAAGATAATTAAAGTTGATTCTCTGCTACTCTTTCTACTCCAAGATTACTGAAAAATGTCAACTTAATTTTTTTGGTTTGAAAGTTGACCAGCTGTCACGAGAAGAAAAAGAGAAACCATAAAACTATTACACATTTAAAGTATTACCTTTGAGGCCAAAAAAAATGATAACAGGGGCCAGATTTGGCTCGCAGGTCTTGAGTTTGATAGATGTGCTTTAGAGCATTAGTTGGGTATCATGGGTATTAGTTGATTTGCAGCCATTTTTGTGTTTTTTAATATCAGTTGGCTGTGGTAGCCATGTTGAATCAGCTTCACAGAGGTAAACCAGCTTTAGATATAAATCTAATGATTACATCCTTAAAGTTACAGTAAAATCCAACCAGCGTTTCTTGCGATATTTTGCAAACAGACACACCAATATAAAATAATGACAAAAGAAGACGATTTTGAGCGTCAGAGACAGKTACCTCCTGTCGACTGAGGGTTGTCGTGGGAACGAGCTCTCTGGTGCTACTTCTGACCGTCACCTCAGAYGAGCTGGACGTCTCCTGTCAGACACAGAGAAATGAGAAGGTGGACACAGAATCCCTCCCACGGTGCAGGAACATGTACAACCCCTGCCCCACTCCAGCCTGCCCGCCTCACAAACGGCAGCACACAAAACCCACACGACGAGCTTTTATCACCTCACGCCTGCGAGCTGCAGGAAACAGTGGGAGGCTAAGTAATTTTTATATTGTGGAAGAGCTTAATAAAATCCCCTCTGTGGCCGATAACAAATGCTTTTCCATTACGGCGCCGCTTCCCAGGGAGCTGCTGAGAAGTTTGAATCTTGCCAAAAGAGGATTTCAGTGTTGGAGCGAAACAGCAATAAATTCTTATAACATATATAAAAAAGCATTTCCTCCTCTGAGGTTCATGCAATTTGAAGGAGATGAAATCTGATTCTTCAGCTTSTTTGTTCTGAAGTCAACATAAGTGAAACACGGAGGGAGGTGGTTGTGGCGTCTGGAACCTCTGTCAACATAACATCATCTGTGGCTTGACGAACACCCGAGCAGAGCGGCTGCAGCGTCTCGGTTCAGCACGTTTCCTCTGGTGAACTGATGTAAAATTCAACACTCAGCAAGGTTCTGGTGCCGCTCCTTCGACTGAACGAGCAAACGAGGAAAACGCCACGTCGCAAAGAGCCGAGGCTAACGCCCTCTGACATCTTCCTCACATGGTCATCGTCACACGCAGGGTGACAGCTGAGCTCAAGGTGACTCCTCTGTGACCCGACCCGCTGGGAGGCCTCGGTCGGACCGGCCCCGGTCCGTCCACGGCAGGAGGTGGATAAATCATTCAGCAGAGTTACGCAGAGCTTGTGACGAGAAAGGACAGCAGCGCTCCGTCTTCTAAGCTCTCCTGGTTTTAAAGAGGAAGAAAAATGTCCCTTTCTTCTGAAATCCTCACAAAACTATTTATTACTGCAGGAGCTGCTCATGTTGTGTTCGACAACAGTCACGTAGCCTCGCAGTCACACTACTTTATGAGCAAAAGAAAGAAAACAGTTGATTTATCTCAACAGGTTTTTTTTATTTTAGGGTAAAAACTAGATCCTTTTTTTAAGGGGCAATATGTGTATCTCTGGCATACATTTAAATACTATACCATAATAAAGTATCTATGTCACCTTTAGTTATTAAAATGCTGTTTTTAATGTTTAAATAGAAAATACACGTATCTTCTCATCACTTCTTCTAAATGGCTTGAAACTGGCCTCTGTCTCTTTAAGAACCGCCTTCCACTTCTGTCCCGTAAGTTTTGGTGGGAGGGTGGGGGTCACGCGCGTGCGAGATGATGCAGTTTACTTGGCATCTGAAAATACATTTCCTCAGTGGTATTTTGAATCTGAAAAGAGCTTCACTGAGTGAGAAGTAGTGTTAAGGGCAGCAGACAGTTTAAGTTTCACTTTCAGTTTGACTCGTTTGCTCTGTTACTGCTGAGAGCCTGCAGGAGTCATGGACGGGGTATGTG